GTTCCTAGTAGCGATGCACTTGTTCCTAGTAGCTTCTTGTTACTACTGCTCTCGCACCCTTGGAGTAATTTGTTGCCTCGTTTGCGTTCTGGCCAGCGCGCAACTGATGACAATGCTGCGAAACACCAATAATGCCAATAATCATCTGGTGAGAACGGCTGGATTGCGTGCTTTTGGGGTGATACAACAAGAACAAACACTACATCTTAAACCAAAAATAGTTATGTTTGCTTCATCACTATGTTGCATTTTCAGCACGACGAGCTTTTTTCCTCAAGTTCCCTCATGTCTGGGCCGTAGTGAGGCTTCAAGAAGATTCTCCGGCCCTGAAGGACATTTGATCTTCGTCCCTCTTCTGCATACTACGCCTAGCTTGACCGCTTGTGACCCCGGCTCGACCCCCTGGCCTGAAAAGAACGCAACGAGATTCATTACGTGTTGCGTCCATCTCATTGCAAGCCATTACAAGTGATTACATCCACTTTTCAAGTTAACTAGCAGTCGGCCTTAGGTTGGACTCCAAGTTGCTCCTCTCGCACTTCGGAACCAGCTTCCCCAAAGCCTCATGCTTTGCTTGCAAGTCTTCGGGTGACAAGTCTGAATAGTGAAGAGTGAAAGGACTTCATTGTGGACTTCTGCTCAACGTCGCATCACATCAAGTTTTCAAGTGTTGTTGCTTTGCCATCATCTCTATTTGAGACATGATCCATATATAATATGGTATCCTTGAACATGTCTATCTTTTTTGTTTGTTATTTTTTTGTGTGCATGTTGATTGAAGTTTTGAAGTCAATGTGTCCTCTCTTCGTCGGTGGAAACAAAGTATATATAGGAGTGGAATATCAGGATACTTATAGCAGAATTGCGTGGCGGGTATGTTCTTTAACTCAATGTGAATTCTTGGAATTAGGTTTTGTCTCTTGGGCTCTCGCAAAGACATTGAGGCCCAAGTACCGCAGGACAAACATAAAGTCAATGAACCAACCCCCTTTAGACTAAGCCCTTGATCTTCGTGGCACTGTTGAAGGCCATTATATAACATGCGTTGTAGGCCAACTGGAAAGTAAATTCCCAATCATGTGTTTCAAGTAACCCTCACCCAAGAAGACTATCTGTGACTAGCAAGAACCATGGAAAACTTGAGGAAAAGGTCGGTGGTAGTTGTAAGAGGATCAAGCAATAGGAAACAATCAAGAAGGATGTGGCTGCAAAACAAACGGGAAGTGGACATGAACAACACAAGGAAGAAGGACATCGACATAATCCTGTTGGTAAGCAAGGGAACCGGTCTAGACACGATGCAACAGCAAGTGGTTGAATACACAAACGTTGCAGTCCGCCTCAGAAACGCACATGACATTGCCAAGTGTACAAAACAATCTAAAGATGTCTAAAGAAGAGGTGGCTGAAAGCAATAGCCTAAAAGCGATGGCCTCCAACTTAAAATAAGGCAACAGGAAACGCAGAAAGTTCGTTTCTTGCCGTCGATCCTTTAGGCTTGGAATCCTTTGGGTTTCTTTACGCCAAACACCCTCGTTTCTTCCGACGTTTCCAACACTGTTGCCGAGTGAGCTGGACTGGGAAGGGCCAAGTTGCCGTTTCTAAACGTCGAGTCGTCTAAACAATAAGCTTCTTGTTACTACTAGTAAGGCGCTTGTTCCTAGTAGCGATGCACCTGTTACTACTAGCGATGCACTTGATACTACTAGAAAATAGAGTTTTCTCGCGTTCGTCCGACCATCTAGAAAATATCCTGTGCCTACATAATCCTACATATCCCGCAACGCCGTTTTCTTGTGACTCTGTGCGGTCTCATCTGGGGGTCTTTGGACAACTTTCGAAAAGTCCTCATGCAATTTGTTTGTCTGCTGAAAGAGATGCACATCGCTTTGGCGGGTCTCAAAGTGAACTTCTTCTCTCAAGGGACATTATACAAAGCCAAAGCGACAGGTTAAAAGGCATCCGTTGTTTCCATTCAAGCGTGCATGTCGTACGGGGCCACGGTTGGCACTGCCTTGTTCAACCTCCATTTCTAGAGACAATCCACATCAATCCACATACCAGCAACCCAAGGGAGTTAACCGACATCTGATGTTTGACCTGACAACCTCTAGTTGCTTCGGGTATGGCCTGTTTGCAACGGCTCCAATCTACAGTAATAGCGATGGCTTCCAACCGAATAGCTTCCAACCTAGGCCTCCAACCGACTAGCGATGGCCTCCAATCTAAGACTTTTGTGTTTTACAGGTCCGAAAGCTCCTTTCACCCATCGCTTCTAGTAACAAGTGTTTTAACAGTAGTAACAAGTGCATCGCTATTGGAAACAAGTGCTTTAACAGTAACAAGTTAGAATTTAATTAGTTTACGTAGCAAAGGAATCTACTAGGACCTTTGTCACCTGTCAGCACAGGTCCGAAAGCTTTCAGTAACAAGTGCCACGCTAGTAGTAACAAGGTTCGCTACTAGGAAAACTAGCCTTCTCCGAACATACGTTGTCTTATCACCTATGTCTTATCTCCCTCACACATCCCGACACTCTATTCTACTCTAACCCCTTTACCCAAGCACCGCAACCCACAAACCAGTGGTGAACGGACCAAAGGGAAATCAATCAGGGATTGTCTTCCAATTGCCTAGTGGTACATGGTGCAAAGCATACCAAAAAAGCACTTCTACGTATACGTTTTACACCGCAAATATCCGCAAATTGCGAATGTGCCTCGGATGCAGCCACCCTCCAGACCTTGCCTCAAGGTTTCTTTTGCCTGTCCTCTCGTGTTATCTTGTGTCACATCTCAAGCTGGGCGGCTTATGGAGGTGATGGCTGTGAGGTAGATTGAAAGGCCGGTGTCACCTGCCTGAAGCAAACCAAAGCGGCGGAGTTGCAAACTCTTTAGATCCAATAAAGAAACGAAACAAATAAGAACACACGAAGGACGTAGCCCCGATAAGGTCCCTTTGAGGGCCTTACTAAAGGGCCCTCTCATTTCTTTCAACAAAGTTATTCTTAAATGATGCCCGACGGCAATACTTTGAACAGAGTCTGAGTCAATCAACATTCAAGATCTTGCGCCACATCCGCATCTCTTCACTTTTTCTCTTGGTCACTCTTCTCAAAAAAACTTTCTGTCTGTCTGTCTCTCTCTCTCTCATTCTTGCCTAACTAGGTATTTGACGCATCGTCCAGTTCAAATATATTACAATATAATATATATATATATTATATATATGTATGTATGTCCTAGGACTCACTCGACATTGTCGATTGGAATGGTCTGATCGTCTGACCCGGTCTAAGGTCTTCACACGGTACGTGGGCGAAGGGCCATCCAAATCCAAGCAAACTCGATATCGACCTGGAAGCGAGGCACGGCAAGGAACCAATTCGAACACGATCGATTCAAACAAATTTGACATCTACGTTCAAAAAAATGTAACAACAAAATATATTGTCCTGTTCTTATCCAATAGACTTACTTATTTAGGAAGCTACTATGTGGAGGCCATCGCTGTTAGGTGGAGGCCATCGCGATTAGTAACTAATTTAAACTACATTCTGTTTTTGTAGATGTATTTTTTCTTATTCCAATGTGTATATCCTAGGCGTTATTGCGTGTCTGGACTCTGAAGAATGCTTCCCGTTGGAATTTCAGGTGTGGAGCTCACTGTGCCCCTAAAGCTGTCAAAACTTTGGTGCAGAATCACGAAATCTATTTGAAACCAATGAAACTCACCAATATCACAAAGAAATGGTTCTATTCTGCAAAAGATTCTATTGCCAATCTGGCCAATGATTCAGGCGGAATACATCAATAGCCACAATGGGTTTTGAAGGCGGGGTAGAGTAGAATCGCCAATGTACTTTTTGTGTGGGCAAACTCGCTTGGTGTACGTGCTTGTGCATCGGTGGACGCAGCGTGGTAGACATTTGAAATAAGCTTCCTGACTCTGCTGAACAACTAGTAACAGGTGCATCGCTAGTAGGAACAAGTGCCACGCTACTAGGAACAAGAGGCTATTAGAAACAAGTGCCTCGCTAGTAGTAACAGGTGCCTTACTAGTAGTAACAAAGAAGCTAGTAGTAACAATCGCAGTCAGGTGATTCTTTTGTGGAAAGAAGCCAACAGCGCTCTGCTCAGCGGAAGACACTTTTTGACTTTGTAGCTATTATGTGGAGACCATCGCTATTAGTAACTACTTCCTCCGGTAAGTGGTACCACCCAAAGCCTTTCATGAGACATGGGATTAATCGAAGAGGCTGTCTTTCTGGAGCACTTCTGCGCACTGAACATGATTGGTTGGGATGGTTTGTGGAGGTACTACAGTAATCATCAGTAGGTTCGTTCGCCGGATGTTGTCGGCATGGCATTTTGTTCTTGAAGATGCAGGTTGTTGGCAAAAGCAAGGAGGAGCCAGCGCCAAGAAAAACATGAAAGCATGCTTTCTTCCAATTCATCCACATTTGCTAGACCATTAGACCAAACAGAATCCACAATATTGCTAAGTTCCCCACACCCATTGTCTTGCGGGGGTGTCGTGAGATGCTCTAAGTACCGAGCGGCCACTGCCTAGGCCACGTGTATCGAAGTGTGCTTGAAAGCCTTGTGAGCCTCGGCACCAAGCAAAGATGATGCAAAGAAAAGAACATTGAAACATGAACAACATGATGACAATGAACATTGAATCATTTTTTTGTTTCTTTGCTGTTGATCTGGAACCGTTTCTGGCCCACACAAAGGGTTCTTTAAAGAAGCAACCATTTCCCCAATTGAGGCGTTGCAGTGAAGAGAAGCTTCCGTCCTTAATGTTGTCTAGTGACGTTCCCAGTGACTTTGCACGAGCAAGCAAGCTTGCTTCCACTAGTGAAAACTACCGTGGCCAGAAAAAGGCAAGGATGATCTTTGTCCGACTCATCTACTCTGAGACTACTCAATACCTAAGACGTCTATTCCCCTTTCCATGTGTTCTCGTTTTTTGGAGAGGCCAATGACTGACACAATTGTAGTTATACTTGGTGAATGCTGCACCCCACAGCCTTCTTGCAGGAGCACAGCACCGGTGGAGTTGGGCCTGAATGAGTTCCATTATGTTTGTGCAAAAATTTTCGTTCTCATAACTTCTCAGTTTCGCATTGAGGATTTGTCTTCTTTTCTTTGATGTGTCCGTCTGCAGACGTGTTGAGTCTGCTCGGCAGTGCTCTGGGAGTCTGGCGACACGGCCACAGGGACAGCATTGGGTGACTCATCGCACTTCATGGCCAGCTGTGCTGTCGTGACTCCATTCATGCATCCTGGGAGCGCTACTAGTAACAAGTGCCACGCTAGTAGTAACAGGTGCCTTACTAAACTTAATTCCAGTAGCTTCTTGTTACTAGTAGTAGCTCCGTTCGTAGCGATGCCAGGAGCCCCTAGTAGCGTCCTTGCTCCTAGTAAGGCCAGGAGCCTCTAGTAGCTTCTTGTCATGTTCCAAATTAGACATGGTAAGATTAGAAGTTGAAGACATTGCCTGAGCAGGCCATTGTGAGAAGGGAATGCTTTCCCTTCACTAGCCTCCAGGGCAAATGGTCTATATTTGACTATGCCTCTCATCTCTTCTCTGCAGACTGTCTGTTGTATCAGTGATAGTGACACAATCTAGAGAGGCCTCCAACCTAATAGGAATGGCCTCCAACCTACTAGCGATGGCCTCTAAAAAACAAAAGGTTCAGAAAAGGCACAAAACTGCTCTGTTCAATTCATCGCCTTTCCGAACCCACAATGGACTTTAACGGACTGACCTCAAATGGACTGCTAGACTTCAAAGAGACTCTGACTCTGATTTGAAAGGACTCTTCAAGAGCACAAGGAAGGCAGGAAAAAAGGGAAACGAAAGGTCAGAAGAACATGATAACTGATAGAACAACAAGAAACTGCATTGTTTTAGAGACTTGGAAGAATCCGCAGGTACTCAGGAGCTCGCATAGATCTCAATGCCAGAGTTCCCAATCTCCAGCCTCAAACAACTTCAAAAAGTGCCGGCTTCTCCCACATCTTCCAAACATATATTTGGGGTTGATCTATTCTTCTTTCTTTCCTTGTTTCTTTGGACCTGTAGCCTGTAATTAGATGTCTTATTGCTTATCTCCTGGTATAGCACCATGATGACGCCTTGTGTCACAGAGTGTGTCTATTTCTTTGAGATTCCTTTTTGCTTCAGCAGCTCTCCTGGAGGCGAAGCCATCCAAGTCTGTGCAAAGGGAGAAGTGCACACCGGGAGTGAGCGAACCTCAAGGAACATCATTTTCAGAGCACTTGTTACTACTAGTAAGGCACTTGTTACTAATAGCGAACCTTGTTACTACTAGTAAGGCACCTGTTACTACTAGCGTGGCACTTGTTACTACTAGCTTCCTGTCCTTCCATGTTCACCTTTCACCTTTCCTAAGTTGATGGCATGTGTCCAGCTCCAAAACGAACTCCTTTGGGAGCGGAAGGAGCTTCGAAGCGACAGAAGTCGTCGCGTCAAGCTGACGGTCCTCGGCCGACTCCTTGAACGTCGTCGCAGCCGTCGAGACTTCAAGCCCGCCGCCTCGAAAAGATGAACCGAATTGATCCGAAAACAGGCTTCTACCTCCCTAGCTTGAACTTCAGTCCATTCAACTTCCTCATTTCAAAGCTCCAAAAAAACAGCTAAGGAAGCGACACGTGTCAGTCAACCTGCTCAACGACGCCAAGTGCTTCCATGCCGTGCCCTTTGAATCTCGAATCTTCGAAAGTAAAAAGCGATGCAACTTTGCCTGCTCATGTTGGAATGATTGGCATCCTTGCAGCTAGGGCGGCTCGACAGGGCGCAACTTGTGCACCAGGTGGACGAAAGGCTATTGGCGTGAAAACAAACAAAAGGCTCCCTTAATGGATGTCTTACCTTCTTTCAAAACGTTTTTAGTCCTTGATTTTCTTATATATACATATACACATGAAACAATGGGCGCATGAGTGGGCATGACTGGGCTGGTGGGTTGAAGGTGGATCAGCAACTGTATGGATGGAGGACGGACAAGCGCAAATCGGGATGAGAACAAGGATGGATGAAAACCATGATGAGGATTAGTATGGACCAACCTGCAACACACCAGACTTGGGGGAATCAACAGAATCCTTTCTCGCTCCAAACTCTGGGAGCAATGCAACATAATGCAACCCTCTCAAACTCTCTCTACCAGGAGACCTCCGAGTGACCTACCTGTATTTTTCCAAGACAGAACTCAGAACAACAAAGAACAGCAACACGAAGGTACCTTTTGCTACACGAAGCTGTCCTCCAGCAGCAAGTTCCTCAAAGGACCTCGGAATTTTGTCGAGAAACAATTGTCTTCGTTCATGTTCAATCCTCAACACACGCAGAAAAGAACCGCTGCCGTTTCCACACTCAGTTGTATCTAGTCTGAAATGTTGTCCTGAACCATCCTGAACCCGTTCACTAAGGACAACTCATGCTTTTTTGCTGATCTGCGGCTTTTACAGTTCTCTTAAAAATGCCCAGCACTCTAAGAGAACAGCAGCCAGCTAGTGGTTGATTTGACATTCGCACGACTCTGCAATGCCAGTCTTTATGCACTTGCGTATATCTTAATTATGCAAGTGTGCATGTTTTGCTGGGGTGTTTTGGTGGGTCATGGAAACTGATCAACAAAATGACACAAACCCAAGAAATACCAAGAAAAAGGACTTGAACACCCTCCAAAACATAGAAATAACTCGATCTGGCCGCGCAATATGTTACTGTGTCCTCCGGGACTCTTACAAGCATCTGCTAGGAAGGCTTGCCCAGAAGAGCACCCAATGCACGGCACCTGACGCAATGATTTTCTCCATGAAAAACATCCCTTTTCTGTTTGAACTTTTTGAGCACATGTTACTTATTGACACACATAGGACAACAGTCATGTATCCAAACAATTGATGGTTGGTAGTCATGGGACATCATAGGACAAAGTTCATGTTTTCATGTGTCAGAAGCAAAAAATGTTGTCTGCAGATGTTGTTCCAAGCCTTCAGCTGTGAGTTTGGCGAGAGTGCCACGGAGAAGTGCCCAGGCAAGGAAAACTGAAACCAGAACGAAATCCGCCCAGTTTCAACACAAGCAGCACAATGCTTTGCCAATCTGCGCGTGTTAAATTTTTCCTATCTCTACTCAAATGTTGGAGGCCATCGCTAGTAGCTTGGAGGCCATCGCTAGTAGGTTGGAGGCCATCGCTATTAGGTTGGAGGCGTTGGAGGCCATCG